GAGTATCGCTTTGACCTCGTTTTCTGCTCGAAGAACCACTTTCAGTTGTCGTGGAGAATTATCCTGGCGGGGTTCTCCAAGCCTGAATGCTGCTTTCACTCTGATCGATGCCACTAGTTCCACCTCTTCGCCATCAAACAAGATAACCATGTGCAACCTCAGCAGCTGCAGGTCGTGGTCCAGGAGAGCCTGGGCAGTGGTGGCCTCGGCCTCCGGAAGATTGACAACAGTAGGACACTGAGATCTCGGAGGGAGCTTCCTCTGCTGCATAGGTTCCTGCAAATCACTGAGGTANGGGTTCCTGCGAATCGCGGGGGCACCTCTCAACTGTCCGTGACATGTTACACGCACCGTGCCTGTATGTCGTGGACGAGGGAGTCGAGTCTGTCCGTGAGGGCGATGCAGCAGACAATATCCCTGTCCTTTTTCGGGTGCTTCTGCTGCAGGAATTGCTTTTCTAAGTAGAGTGAAAATGACATCTGCATACGAAGGGGCCACTTTCCCAACAGTGGCCGGCATTATGGGGGTTAGAAAGTAAAAATAGATGATTGATTAATTAGCTAGACTATCCTAATCATCTTTACCGTTGTATAAAATGCATACTTTAGAGTACCGGACATAATTATAGATAAGTGACATGTGCGAAAATGGACCTTTTTCCGTTGATGAACTGATGACTAAACCTGTCGAGTCCTAGTACCTCCTGAAAATATTTACGCAGACTACGTTGGTTTTTTTAGTCTGACAAGATGACTCTTTCAAATCAGTATTTGATTCCTTATATTTTCTTTTTTAATTTAAATGTATCTTTTTCAGTCACAACGATGCGCATTACACGAGCAAGTGTGAAGAGCAATTCACAAAACTACGAGATAGTGCCAAACAGGTAAGTGTTTATTTTTCAATTTGTTTCCGTGACGAAATCCGGTTCGACGGACTCTGGATAATGCAGGGGAAGGCCAAGTGGATTTATTTATTTTCATGATTGCAATTCGCCCTCAGTGTAATGTGTTTAACTGTTTTTTAGGTATGAGCATCTAAAATAAAAAATTAACGGCTTTCAAACTAAGTGTAATGTGTTGTTTTGTCCTCCAGTACGAAGGTTTTATCCATTTTGTCCAATTGTACATGAGTTTCCGCCCAAGTATCTTTCAAGGCGTGCTAGTTACGCAGTGAAACACACTCGTTGACTAAGTCGAATTTGCACATACGCACGTACGGACCCAAGCGAAAACAAGTGCAAACACGTCTCACAATTTTCTCTCTTCAATCTGTATTGATCCAATGGAAATCGATTTTTTTGTATTGACTGGACAGATGAATGTCTGACTGCAAATATACATAAATTCACTGAAGCGAGATCAAACTTATTAGAAAAATCTGTATAGAATGCCATATTCGGGTTAATCTGTGTTTTCTCCGGACACGTTCTATGATCTTTTGTGTGTTTCACTCCTTGTAAAAATTTAATTCATTTATGATTTTGACTGAAGCAATGAAATTTTATTTTGATGAACCGCTAGGTTTTTGTCTGTCTCTTCCCGCTCCGCACATTTGCTAGCATTGCGATTCTAGCTATCGTACTGTTGGTAGTTCTTAATGTCACAGGTACAAGGTTACCTAGAACAAGTCGGTAAAGTAATAAAATGTCCTTGAATCTGGTATTTTGATCATTCCAACAATGCCGCAGATCACATAAATCCAGCATAATTTAGTTCCCGCAGATTTCTGAGAAATAAATTCTGCTCTGTGGAAAACATTTTATGGCGGATGCAGTTCTACTGACGCCATTAATTTTAACCTTAAAACATTTTCTTCAGTGGCTTATTATCTTTCTGGTTGATCTAATTATGCTACGTGAAAATAATCTGAGACAGAGTGTATTACTCCTAGTGGATAGTTGTTAGCTCGTGGAATTTTATCACATTTAGATCGGCGATCGGTCGACGAGGCCAGTTAGTGGAAAGTTCAAACTAGATTCTGCTTTCCGTGCTTGATCGTGAGATCGGTTTCAGTCGTAATCAAAAGCTACCACGACCACGCACCTTTGGTGCTTTACAGCTACTCCTTTGCTTGTTACAAAAGCACATCCTCCCCTTAAGTACATCTCAACTCCAATGTCCACAGCCTCCTTTCTCGGTTTCAATAATTGAACTTTAGGTCCTTCTGACTGTGTAGTTTGCTCCTTTCACTGTTCATCACGCGGTAGTGGAGGATAAAATAGTGACCCACTTCTTGAGTAGCATCGGGAGTGGACTCTCAGTTGATTACATTAGCATGACGTAATTGAGTACTGTAAAGATGGTCCTCGTACGCCCGCTCACCTTCTTCACCCGCTTATTTATGTCGGGTTGCTTTCTTTCTGTGTTTACGATGTTTTTCATTTTTTTATCAATAAAAATTTTAATTGAGAGAAATCAAAAAGGTTCTCTTAGAGTAATCGTTAAACATCTGCATCTATTTGATCAGAAAATTTGAATATGCCCCGGGGCCATGTAAATATTTTTTTGCTTTGTGCTAAGATTTATAACGTTTCTCATAATATATCCCAAATGCCTTCATCAAATTACCCAGAAGACGACAAACTTTGTTAATTAACGGCTCTTCAGGTGGGTTATAGCTGGCTGTAAGGTTTCCATCGAAAACAGTTTGGAGCGCCCCTAAGTCTTTCGAGGCTGGTTTGTTTTTGGTATCATACGTTTTTTAATGTTTCATTACCAATCTGACGTCGAACTAGGTCCTCAGATCAGTTGTTAGCACTTTATTGATATGCCGCCAAAACCAGCAGATACCAAATGCCACCGATTGGTGTGTTCTGGTTCGAACGATGAAGAGCAAAAGCACCTGAAAATTCCACGAAAAAAATGTTTCACAATATTCATTGTTAGATGCGTGTAGATTTGTATTTCTTTGAGAATTTTCATGCATTTTCCACACGAATTCACAGATTTCAAGGATTGCGTAATGCAGTGTATTTCTTGCTTCGTTAATGTTTCTTGAAGGCGTTGGAGTTTTGTACGTGATAGTTAATTGTTTGCAGTCGACAGCTGTTTGGTTCTTGCCGAGGCTCAACAGCAGTGCTTGCTGTGTTTTTCTATCCCCACCGGAGCTCCAATGTTCTGATCTGTGATTCAATACACTTATTTCCTTCTTTCCTCAGACCCATGAAGAATTAAAAAACGTATGGAATGTAAAACGTTCCACAATACTGAACGCCATCGGTTTGCATGCGGACGAGTATGCAGCATATCGGAGTGAAGAACAAGTGTTTGGTCGTTCACATCACATATCAGACGAGTCGAGTGGTTTAGCTGCACCTCCACCGCGCCAAGGAGCGCTCAGTGCTGTACTTCGCCTTAACTGTAACTCGCGAAATGTNCACAGCCGAAATTTTACCACAACTTGCTACAGAACACACAAGAGTTGGTGGATTTGGGGGAACTGAAACAGTTACTGAAACTAGCCTGTGATGAATTTCTCGCACTGATGGAGTTGTTCAGATCCGTACTATTTCTGTCTTCCCCGTCGGAGCTTCTGACTGAGTCTGATAGATCACAGCTGGACTTCCAACGAAATGCCATCACTGCGCTCAGTGACATTTGCAAGGTGTGAATGAGTGCCACTTTTCCGCCCGGTTTCTGTTTTCTGACTGTTCAGTTCAGTTTGTTTTAACTGGTTTACTATCTCAGAAGCTTCCTCTACTTGTCTGAGTGATATCATCAATTTCTTTTATCGATTATTCTAAGTAAAAAAGAACTATGCATAGCATATCCAATAAATTGCGTCTTCGTAATTTAGCCCCATTGAAACACGAATATGGAATCGCAAAGTGACAAAATTTATTTATCTTGCTATTCTGTTTAGTTTTCCCCCTAGTAATTCCGTCGTTTCATTAAGACACTTTCTAATTAATACAGCGATCAATACGTATTCACTTCACGGTCAGCTATCAGTTTTTTATCACAAATCCTTCCGCAAGATCAACCGTCGCACAACGCGGCTAATTTATGCAGGCAGCGTTTGACGTTTCTTTTAATAGACAATGTCAACTGATTTTTATTTACCCTCTTCACGCGACGTGCTTAGCTCATCCAGCCAATCATTCATGCATGATAAAAGCCTTAGACTCCTGTTTTGCTCTTGTCTGAGCAATCCCTGTGGTGTACATTCACCGACGCCTTCGGAGTTTGAACCAAAAACCCCTGGCATATGGAGCATGCGTCTTACCACTGTGTCAATCAGCTCACTGATTCTATTGTGTTTAGATGTTTCCTTCAATGACAGTAGTCCGGAGTTTTTAATTGTCGTATATTCCAGCGGATACATATATTGATGAGCCCTAACAAAAGCCAAACTGGAGTCCAGTACTTCCGCGGTGTATGCATGTTGATTGGGTGAGCTGAGGATTGTGCGTAACTATGACTTCTAAATTATTTCATGCAACCACAAAGGGGAGTTATTTGACAATTAACATAAGCTAGCGTAGCTACAAATGAAATGAGGCAACCATTTTCACTTCACAGAGCTATATTCGGTTGCTTATTCTGTAAAACATTACTTCTCTTATCGGTCTCCTGCCGGTTTTTCTATGCTTCTTGTTTTAGCAGGGTGCCTTTTGCAGATAACTTTCTCCATTTAGATCGCTGTATCTGCTGACCTAAACCAATATCGTCGATATTTAGTGTGCGCTCACGTGTCCAATCCATCTAGGGAAGGAACTCTCTCTTTTCTTTCACTTAGGAAATCTCCGACATTTTGTCGGAACAGGAATCTCGTTTGCTGCAACTGTTGGATCTGACCGATACCGGATTGATCACGTTTATTCATCTAATTGACCAATTTTTGTTGGATCTGAACTGCGGTCGGGACAACGGATCACGTTTGTATCCAACTCTGGATCAGTATGAAAAGAAAATAGGTACATGGAAGAATATTTTGCCGATTAAACGGAATAAAACAGAACATCTGAAGAATCAGCAAGGGTGAGTTGGTTTTGACTACACAGCGAGACCGCCTTAACTGTAATCTGCCACAATGAATCGCCATGAGTATATTTGTTTGTAGTTTTCCACTTAGACCGGCTTTTTATTTTAGTTTCAGACTGATTTCTGCTGACGAATGATTGCAACAAAAGCATATTTGTACCAGTATGTCTTGACTTCAAGAGTTAGCATTTTGAACTCACACTTGACCAAACTCCGGACGGGCCTTTAGAGCCTTCTTGCGAGCGAGAAAAATATGTACAGAGGACAGGAGAATATTTATAGCGCGATATGGGAAAATGGCTAGCCGGAATCTTTCGGCCGTGTTCACAATCGGACAAGAAATCAGATTCAAGCCACTAACCATCGGGTGCCTAAAAGGAATATTCGCATCTGTCGTCATCCGATCACACGGTGCCTCTCCCCATTCAAAGGTCGTCACTCAGTCGGGTCTACCTCATTGCATTTACGCCTTCTGTTGCAGCTGCAACGAAGCATACATTGTTAGAGCCGACCAATCACTGAAAATTAGAATGGCCGAACGCATCCCCAAGTACGTGCGTGATTCTATATTACTGTGTCTTAAATAGGGGTGCTGGTGCGCTCACTCAGCTTCTTCTCAACCTTAGTGTAATTGAATTCTCTATCCTAATATTGGTATTGCCTTCAGCTTTCTATATCAGCCCAGTGCTTCTTAATTCTTCGACATAATGGTAACCGAAGGGAAGCCCAATCTGGCATACTAGGTTGAGGTGAACTGTAACTAACAGACCAGTCCTCAACTCTTTTTAGCATACCTGGCTTTGGTCGGAATAAAAAGTTTACTTGCGGTGAAAGGCGCTCTCCTGAACAAAGTCGAGATCACTGTGAGCCAATGTCTTCTTGCAGATCGGTATAAATTCATTCGGATCTGTTTGGATCCTCAACAATAAGCGAAACGAGATCATTGAGACAGGGCAGGATAGTCTGAACTGGAATCAAAAACGTTTACCTGGCAGCAGTGTAATCTTATCGAACTATCACGTGGCCTGCGGCCGATGTGGATGAACCTTCTTTGCCTAGCTTCTAATTCTCCGGAAGAATTCAACGCACTGTGGAGCTGAACTACACCTGACTACCTCCAAAACTTCCGTTTACCTCACCGGGTGTTGAGCTGTAATCATTCACGTTAGAAGCTTGACAAATCTTGCCAGGTTTATCGGGCCGTCATTACAGTGGCTTGAGTGCTGTTTTGGTAGATAGTCTGTGGTATTCATCAATAGTAAAATCCATTTTAAAAGGCGAAAATCCCTCTTACCCACTCAAACGGAAACAGCGATCAGAACCGATAAGTCCGAAAGGATTATCCATAAAACTAGTTCCTGTGTTGCTCCACCGTTCGATAATTAGTAACAGTTAATGTAAAGATTATCTGCTTAGTTCGTCCAGTTTGACGTGAATTCTATTTGGAGCCAGGTTACCTTGAGATTACCGGAAGAAAAGTCCGATAGCGCAATATTGAACGATTATTTTTAAGGCTAGTTTCTCTGCATTACTGTTGGCGCTTTCATCAGTCGGTACCCCTAAATACTTTTTATCATTGTCGTTACGTTGGCACAGTGCTTGTCCTCAAGCCTGTATGAAATATAAATATATGCTATTTTTCATGCGCAGGACTGAACTTTAAAACGCGTAAACCACACACTGCTTTAGTTTAGTTTGAAGTAAATTCTTCTACTCAGACTAGCTGAAAGGTAGGAGTTTCTCTCGGTTGACCACGTCAACATTCCTATGCGTTACTATTGTATGTGGCTATTCGTGATTGGTTGCTCGTCTCGTCCAATCACGAGTAAACAAGTGGATGAACGTTAGAATCCCATGCATCGTTCTTTGGAGTACACATTTTGCACTTTGGTCAGGGAGTTTGGAATGTGATACACAATAGTTTGCACGTTTCTGTTCGTATCCTGTTACTAGAGGAAACCATAGTTCAATAAAAAAATATTTTCAGTTTCAGGATGTGCTTTTGTGCACCGGTTTAGGTTACTATCTTACGGCTACCCATTTAGTTGAATGATGATCGAGAAGTACATGAAAGAAGTAGAAATTTCGGAATAGCACCAAGAATGTACTAAAGAGGTTGTTTGATTGGCATGCTGTATAGTTTTATCTGTATGAATTTGTGTTATGAAAATTAAAACAGTTTATACAAAACCGGTTACAACGAATGTTAAGATTTCGCGCATATATATAAATATTTGATTTATCGGATTTACAACACGGTCACTCACGAGAAGATTCATACTACCAACTGATCGATTGCCACGTCAACAATGCCACTTGGATGTACCGCGGGTCGATTGTGAGCCTCATAGCCTGACACATTGTGTGTGTACTAGTCTGACTTTCCAACTTGTAGACCTTCGATTGTCACACTAGTGAGAGACAACCAGCGACACTATCAAATGTCCGCAATGGAAATCGATTAACATGTGTGATTGTGGATCTGTGATACTACGCCATCTACAAAACAGTTGTGCGTGTGTGCGAAAGAGATAACTTATCAGATGGCGCATATCAGGTCCGCGTTTGAGCTTCATGAGACCAAATCGTTAGAGTTGCCTATAGGATTGTGGGGTGGAGGGGAAACGCTGCAATAATTTTCGAAATAATGACAGAAGCCGGAGATAACCGGCTCCTAATTCCCCGATTTCATTTACAATAAGCACTGCTCAAACTCTAGATATTAATGGTGAACAGAGCACAGACTGCCGATTGGGGATTTAGGAAAGAATTGACCTCGCCATCTTATCCAGATGAATTTGTGCATTGAGAACATACATATTGAACTACTTTCCCAGTTCATTAGTACACTTGGTTGAGGCCTTTGGATGGTGTTTTCAAAACCGCTTGGTAAGACATTAACCAAATCCACAGTCCTCCATCTTTTAGGTCTTGATTCACTTCTGGTATCATTCTCATTGTCTCTACGGAATTGATAGTGCCCATGAGTGCGAACAAAGTCATTGCCCTAATTGCTTCTCTTCTTCTGTCTATCCAAAGGGAGAGAGGGAACACGCGCCAGCTGAATGTTATGAACACATCTGTGGACACATGAGCATCAGACTGCTTTTAGACCTGGTCAACCGAAATTTCACTCCACCAAATTCTAGATCCACCGTTTCCGATTTCCTCAGTCTGAAATCAGGGGTCGAATGTGCGCTGCAGCAGTTTGGTCAGTGCTGCTATACGGTACACAGACTTGGCCATTACGGGAACAGGATATAAATAGATCATCGGTGTTCGAACACCGCTGTCTACCTCGCATTGCACGAGTCTGGCGGGGAAACCGGACAAACAATACTGAGGTCAGGAGCAGAGTTTTAGTCAATCGCGGTCATTCAGTGGTACAAGTGGTCGACCTCCATAGATTAAGCTGGTTGGGACATGTGCTACGCATGCCACCACATTGGTTGTCACGGCGCGCGATGTTTGCCGAGGCAGGTAGTGGGTGGCCAAGGGTGGTCAAACTAAGACCTGACATGAGGGTATGAAAACCGTAACCAGGAGACTGGGTCACATAGGTCCCCTTAGGCTCCCTGGACGGGGGCCCCCAGATCATGGTAACCGGTGGTTAGAGGCACTGAGTGATATGGCCGAGCATCGCAAACAGTGGCGCTCGTACATCTGCTCATTATCCTTGCAACCAGAGTCTATACGAATTTTCTATCTTACCCTTGAATTGGCTGTTAAAATTCCAATTTTTTATTGAAATGGGCAGGAGAAAGACAGCAAACGAAACCTTTGCATGAAGATGCATGGTTAATGGTTGTCAAAATTGAAACTAAACAAACGTTTGTCTCTGTCGACTACGTTGATGGGGAACCCAGAAACTTTGTACTTGGCCTTTGTAAAGGTGAGCATGGATCTAGACAACTAGGAAGATTTTTGCTCTATGTCTTGTGCAGTGGAATTCTCGTTTTCTTGTGAACAATGGTGCAATTTCCGGTAAACCGAAATGACAAATTCATGTCTAACAGTAGTTTTGAGTATGAGACGAAGANCCGTAACCAGGAGACTGGGTCACATAGGTCCCCTTAGGCTCCCTGGACGGGGGCCCCCAGATCATGGTAACCGGTGGTTAGAGGCACTGAGTGATATGGCCGAGCATCGCAAACAGTGGCGCTCGTACATCTGCTCATTATCCTTGCAACCAGAGTCTATACGAATTTTCTATCTCTTCTTTGACTCTGCTCTCAACGTTCCAGTCTTCATCCTGCCCGTTTATCTAAATGGGCAGCCAAAAGACAACAACCAAAACTGGCGGACGAAAGTAGATTGTTAATGGTTGTACAAACTGAAAGCGGATTCTAGTTTGTATGTTCGATGTCATATTGTGATGGAAGGTGGTATAAAGGAGTCCCGGCTGGCGAACTGATCAAGAATAGGGCCGATCCAACAGGTGCGCAGATGTAGCAGCTGGAAGTACTTCGCGAGACAATGTCGACTACCACTCGAAACGAGCGAATCGACAATTACAGCCCGACGGACAATCCGCATCTAGCCAGAAAGATATCCACCGATATCCACCACAACATCGGAGCTGACGATCAACGTATCTTGCGCTACGATCAGGTCAAACCAGTCAGAACGGCACGTGGAAGAAGAGGAAACGTAAGTGCCAAGTGCCGACCAAAACCAATAGAATTGGACCAACAGAATGAGGCATGAATCATCCTGCCGCGCGGTTGAGAATTGATTGTTTATAATCGAACGCATACACCGGTTGTTTTTTAATTGGATTAATGAACGTTTTGCCAGCCGACTCGCCTTCTCGTCACAATATGAGTGCTAGATTGACCTGATGTCGGACATCGGGTTCCCGGTTCCCGTAAACAAATAGTAGCGTCTTTTGTATATTTGGTTTGTCCCTCTCATTATAATACGTTTAGCAAAAGTGGTACGTTTTTGTCAAATTCCATTTCTTAGTAACTGACGATAATAATCTTTCTTTAATTCCTTGTCTTTTATTGAATATGCGACGATGTGTTAAATTTTCAAAACCCGGGATGGAGAGTCTATGGCTGACCAAGGGTTCCTGGAAACTTTCATATTTGGAAAAGTTGGACACCTCGAGTGGGATTGGAACACTTGACTCGTGAACCAGTGGAGTGATAACTTAGATCGCTTGACCAACACCTCTCAGGAACTCCCACGATACGCATACCGATCCAAACCGCCTAAAAAACCTACAGAAATGTTGGAGTGAATAAAGCTAGAAGCCGTTTTTTCTTTGCAACCTAATTTTTACGGTATATTTTGAACCTGTTAAGTCGCAGACGAAGGTATTCTCTTTATTTCAATTTCGGTCTCACATTTAAACATAGGTTCTTTTAACGGCGATTATTTATGCTAATTTATCGCAAACTTATTCGCAAACTGCTAAAAACCCATCGGTGACGGAATAAGTATTACTTCGCAAATACCCCCATGACAAACCGTAAGGTTTCATAGCTGTAATCTTTATTTTCAAATTATCCCCAATTTTCAAGTATTTGTCATCTCATCGTTATGGCTTACTCTTCCACCACCTGTGGAACCAATGGTTTCGATGTAACCAAAAGGGAAACCCCAATATAAGTACAATACCAATAGTCCTGTACCGATTCATTGCCAAGCACTTACCAGTCCGGTCGCCTTCCTGAAAACCATTCACTTTAAACAGCGATGTCTCGGTTCTGAGTGCAATCCGTAGTGGTTATTGGGGAAAACTAATAGGAAAGAATCCCAACAAAATTCCGTTTGGATACACCATTACAATGGTGATGCATTTAGGGGAAGGCTCCATCGAGGTAATATAGAAAGGCGACTTCGCGGGAGACTAATTGTGGTCGTCAGCTGTGCCCATCCGCAAATTGGGTACATGCTGTAGGACACCAGCATTTTAACAACATACCATATTTCTTTGAGAAAGAATCCACTGTTAAGTTGTTCTTTTCATCAACCGCATGACTGTATTCTTGTTCAGATCCAAACGCGATGTGTTAACTCAGCTATTTATATGTAGATTTGAGGTCGAGCGTTAGTAACCTCACAAAAGTTGGAAAATTCGGAAATGTCAACCAATCCGAGTTTGCGGCTTTGGTGGTGTAAAATGGCATCATTTGTCCACAAAAATTTAAAATTCCGCAATTTTTAAATAAAACAACTACGAAAAATGAATGAAATCTAGACCTTCTAGGGATTTCTCCGTATCACCTCGTTATTGAAGTATGTTGAGAAAAGCTTACCGCATAAATGTGAAACACGTACCACCATCATATCAAACCAAACATGTATCGGTCGTATGTCTCGTTAACTGCGTATTATACGTTCTACCTGGGCAGGGATGATCCAACCAGAGGTGAGCCTTATTGTATGATTTTCGTGTTATGACAAACTCTGTCAAACAGAAACTCGACATGTTGGGTACCTCTGGAAATTGCATTCATGTATTTTTCGTTTTGGCTGCAGGACTGCGTCGCCGGACGGGCGAGATCCGTTGGTAAATTTACAAACGAATCTCTTCCAACGATTGTCTGACCTCAACTTCGTCTTGGCTCATTGTATCCGCGTACAGGAACAGCGCATGGTGTTGTGTGACCAAAGCGCAATAGGTTGGATTACACGCTCGCTTGTCCACTTCTGTGTACGACCAGAATGGATCGTCAAATTGCAGGAACAAAAATGCGAATCAGATGAAATAAGCTCAGTTGCTTCAACCCCCAGTCCTGGTTCCACTTCCAATATAATTACGGAGATTGGTATGGATGATGTGGAATCAGAAGAACTATCTCCAAATAGAGAATTGGATCGGACGGCTCCGGCCTCTCAAGAGCTTGAACCACAGCTGGATCCAGTCATGATGCGTCAATACCAATCTCGTTATGAACGCATTTTAAGGGACTTCGATTCTCGTGTTTTGCTGTTTGCCTTGGCTAAAGACATTACGGAGATACAAACTGTGGTGGATCGTATTGTCAGTCATTTCAACACGTTAGTTGTGTGTCAGATTTGAGTCCGACGGCTCAATTCGCATTCGCTCACAGGTTGTTTCGTTTCAGTGAAGCTTCAAACAAACAAACAATGAAGGTCGATTGCCAGATGGCCTTTGAAACTTTACAGGTTGGTTGAGCATTCATTTTCCGCGTTCAGCAGTCAATCCGGTTCTCCCTCTGCCGCAGGAAACTGCTACCAAATTCACAGGAGCTTGGCAAAGTCTTTACGATGAGCTTGTCTTGGTAATCCAACACGATTCGACC